TACCTACTAACCTCATCCCGCCCCCTTGACCTGTCCGTCCTCCCTGGACTGACCTATCTCCTCCCTACCTCCCCACCTACACTCACCTTTACTGGCTCCATCCCCGTCTCTTTGACCTGTCTGTCTCCTCTCCACCTATCTTCTCCTCTATCCATCTTGTATCCGCCTCCCCCTCTCTCCCTATTTATTACAGAACCCCCTTCCCCTCCCCCATTTCTGAAGAAGGGTCTTGGCCCGAAACATCAGCCTTCCTGCTCCTCTGATGCTGTTGGCCTGCTGTGTTCATCCAGCTCTACACCTGGTATATCTTAAATCTGTTCCCATTTGTTCTTGATCCTATTATGAGTGGGAACTGTTGCTCCTATCAATTCTACTTAGTCCCCTAATTATTTTGAAAACTGCTATCAGATCAACTCTTAGCATTCTTTTCTTCATGGAGTACTGTCTCAAACTCTCCAATCTATTGTAATTACTGAAGTTTCTCATCCCTGCAAGACTTCAACGTATTCATATTCTTCTTACAGTGTGACCCACAGAGCTGTACACAAAACTCTAGCTGACGTCTTAAGAAGTGTCTTCTCGAAGTTCAGCACACCCTCCTTGCTTTTGTACTTTATGCCAGTATTAAGAAAGTCCAGGATACTGTACGCTTCATTATGCTTCTGCTCTGTCCACCTCTTCTGCAACCTTTAATGATCTGTGCCCATATACTCCCAGGTCCTCTGCTCCTGCACCTGTTTAGATTCGTACTCCTTATTTCATATTATCTGTCCATATTGCTACCAAAATGCATCACTTCTTACTTCTCTACATTGTAATTTCATCTGCCATCGATCCACCTATTTCACCAACTTGTATATGCCCTTTCGAAATTCTACACCATCCTCCTCACAGTTCACAATGCTTCCAAGTCTTAAATCATCAGCTTTTCAGATTAATTTGGTAGCTGTGCATTAAAGTTTAATGATTTCTGTTAATGTACCTTCAACATCTCTTCTCTTTGTCTTACACAGAGCTGGGTTTACCATAAAAGGTAAAGATGCCATAGTCTTACCAGACTATAGGGCTGCTCTGTTAGAGAGATAGATGACTGGTAATAGTTTAACTTGAGATTCATAATGCCTCAGGCGAGGGAAGAGGTTGAAAAGGAAAGCTCTTCATGGTAATCTCATCTGGTTCAGGAATTGAACCCACGCTGTTGGCGTCACTTTGCATTGATGCCTGATGTTCAGTCAACTGAGTTACCCAACCCCCATAGAGGAGGATGAAAGGAGCATAAACTGGGTAAAATGAGTTGAAATACAGTTCATACATTACAAATGAACACACAAACATATGAATTAAAAGCAGTAGTAGGTCACATGGCCCCTCAAACTAGCTTCACCATTCAATAAAATCATGGCTGATCAGCTTAATCTACATTCCCACCTACTTAGAGTCATTGCTTTCTTATCAAGAATCCATCTACCTTTGCTTTAAAATATTCAAGGATTTTGTTTCCATCATCCTTTGAGGGCGAGAATTCTGAAGAAACTCTGAGAGAAAACATTTCTTTGTATCGCTGTCTTAAATGGGCGACACCTTATTTTGAAACCGCGGCCAACTGTTTAACAGAGTAGCTCAAGAAACTGAATGGTTCGTTCTTTTACTAAGTTCCAAAACACTTATAACACAGAATTTAGCCAAAAAACCCTGAAAATATTTCATCAGAGTATCTGTTCTTGTGGAATTCTGACTGAGATTATTGACGGAGTAATAAATGAATTTGGAAGGTTTGAACAATCAACTGCATAGTATTTACAGACTTCTGCAAATCACTCAGTAAATGAAACTATTTACGCTATTAATGACTTGAATTTTTAAAATTCCATTTATCTTCGTGCAATGCATGTTTTGTGCTCTTTGGAAAAGATTAATTTGAAATGCATGGATGAAACCAGTTGAACTTAGAATGTTTAACATTTAAAATGTTTTCACTTTTTGAGCCTTATACTTAGTTACTGCAAAGGGGGAGAAAAAGACAAGGTAAAATGATTGCAATAGATTCTAGTTTTCATAATTTTCTTTCTATAAGTGAATGCATCTCATAAAATCGAGAATAAAATAAAGATTTTTTTTTGGTTAGAGACAAAAATGCTGCAGATGCCAGAATCCAAGGTAGACAAACAGGAGACTGGAAGAACACAGCAGGCCAGGCAGCATCTGGAGGAAAGGAGCAGTCAATGTTTCAGGTATTACCCTTGTTCAGGGCTGAAAGTGCAGTAGGGGGAGCTGCAGATAAAGGGGCAGGGGTGGAAGGGGTGGAGGCGGAATGGTGGTGACAGGTACGACCTGTTTGGTTGATGGGAGGGGTGAATCTGGTTGGTGGCTGGAAGGGAGGGTCAGAAGGTGGAATGGAAGGGAGGAGATGGGGCTGGAAGGGGAGGCGGGGGATGGGTGGCAAGTTTATTTGAAATTAGAGAACTCATGTTGAATCTTCCGGACTGTAGGGTGCCCAGGCGGAAGATAAGGTGTATTTCTTCAAATGTGCATTCCAAGTCGCTGCGACACTGGAAGAGCCCGAGGACGGACGTGTTGGAGGGGGAGTGGGACATGGAGTTGAAATGGGCGGTGACCGGGAGGTTAGGTTGGCCGTTACGGGCCTGGCGAAGATGCTCGGTGAAATGGTCACCTAGTCTCCGTTTAGTTTCACCATGTCCAGAAGACCACATCGGAAGCATCAGATGCAATAGACTAGGTTGGAGGAGATGCAGGTGAAGCTCTCTCTCACTTGGAAGGACTGTTTAGGGACCTGGATGGAGGTAGAGGAGGTGGTGTGTGGGCAGGTGTTGCATCTTCTATGCTTACAGGGGAAGATACTGGGGGCAGGGCGGAGGAGTGGTGGTTGGAGTGGTTGATGGAGAATGTAGCGTGAACTAAGGAGTGGCAAAGAGAATGGTCCTTGCTGAAGGCAGAGAGGGGTGGGGAGTGGAAGATGTTCCAGGTAGTGGGGTCTAACTGAAGTTGGCGGAAGTGTTTGAAGATGATACTTTGGATGTGGAGGCTGGTGGGGTGGAAAGTGAGGACAAGGGGGACCCTCTCTTTATGATGTTTGGAGGGGGGGGTGATGGTTAAGAGCTGTGGAGCAGGGAATGGAGGAGGTGCGTTGGAGGACTGCCTGGATGACAGAGGGGGGAAAAAAGCATTGTTTGAAAAAGGTTGACATCCGGGATGCTTGGGAGTGGAACATCTCCTCGTCAGAGCAGATGTGATGGAGGTGGAGGAATTGGGAAAGTGGGATGGAGTTTTTGCAGGATAAAGGATGTACTCTAGGTGGCTATGGGAGTCTGTAGGTTTATAACAAATGTCAGTCCCTAAACTGTCAACAAAAATGGAAACGGAGATGTCAAGAAAGGGGACGGAGGTGTCTGACATAGACCAAGTGAATTTGAGGGCGGGCTGGGAGTTGTTAGCGAAGTCAATGAACTGCTCCAGTTCAGCCTCAGTGTAGGATGCAGCACCAGTGCAGTCATCGATGTAACGGCGGAACAGTTGGGGACTGTACCAGTGTACGTATTGAAGAGGGACTGTTTGACATAACCAACAAACAGGCAGGCATAGCTGGGGCACATGCAAGTGCCCAAGGCAACCCTCTGGATTTGGAGAAAGTGGGAAGAATTGAAGGAAAAGTTATTGAGGGTCAGGACTAGTTCGACGAGGCACCGGAGGGTATTGGTAGGGGATGCGGGAGCTGGATTGGTCTGTTGGCAAGGAAAAAACTGAGGGCCCGTAGGCAATCTTTGTGAGGTATAGACATGTATAGAGATTGAATGCCTATAATAAAGAGGAAGCGCTGGGGGCCAGGGAATTGGAAGTTACCCAAGAGGTGGGGGGCGTGGTTTGTATACTGGATATAGGTGGGGAGTGCCTGGACCAACAGGGACAGAATGGAGTCAAGGTAAGAATAGATGAGTTCAGTAGTGCTGGAGCAGGAAGAGATGGCAGGGCAGCAGGGATAGTTGGGCTTGTGGATCTTGGGAAGTAGGCAGAACCAGACAGTGCAGAGCTGGGGAACTATAAGGCTGGAGGTGGTGGAGGGGAGGTCACCAGAAGCAATGAGGTCATGGACAGTGTGGGAGACGGTGGCTTGATGGGTCATGGTCAAGGGGAAGTTAGGACATGGTGTCAGAGAGGTAGCATTCAGCCTCTGCGACATAGAAGTCTGCCCTCCAGACTACCACTTCCCTGCCTTTGTTAGACGGTTTGATAGTGAAACAGGGATTGGTGCGGAGTGAATGGAGCACTGCACGTTCGGAGGGGAAAGAGGTTGATGTCGTGTTGGCAGTTAGAAATTAAGAGGTCCAGGGCGAGTAAGAGGCTGGCACGGGGTGTCCAAGAGGAGGAAGGTTGGAAGTGGGAGAAGGGGTCCCCGGAGGGTGGTTGGGAATCTTTATCAAAGAAGAAGGCATGGAGGCGGAGGTGGAAGAAGAGCTTCACGTTGTGGCGGGCACAGAACTCGTTGAGGTGGGGGCAAAGGGGCACAAACGTGAGCCCTTTACTGAGGACAGAATATTCGGCCTCAGAGCGTTCGAGGTCAGGAGGAATGGTGACTTTGCAGCAAGGTTCATGTGTGGCGTTTGGGGGGGGGGGGGGGGTGTGATGACACGGTGTGATGGGGATAAGTAGTTGTGGAAGGGGAAACAGAGTGGGAGGGTGTGAGATAACAAGGTGTAGAGCTGGATGAACACAGCAGGCCAAGCAGCATCAGAGGAGCCGGAAGGCTCGTTTCGGGCCTAGACCCTCCATCAGAAATGGATAGTGGGATGGAGGATTGGATGAGGGGAAGGGTGTGGTAGTGAGAAAGGAGGAGAGGTGGAGGGGTAGGTTGTATTGTGGGGGTTGGACAGATGAGGAGGAAGAGGTGTGCTGGCCAGCTGCAGGTGGGGCAGTAGGACCCAGGAGTGACCATGGGGGTAGGTGTCCATGTGTTGATTGGAGAGTGAGCGGACTGGAGACGGAAGTTGCGGGGAAGTCGAGGCAGGTCCCGGTCCCAGTTGCGGCGGAATCCACGGCAGCGTTTCTGAAGCTGTCCGGAGCAGAGATGGGTGTTGAAAGTGAGTTTCTGTGCATCCTGATCGATGGTTGCAGAGGCTCGGGTGCCGGACCGGAACTGGAAGCGGCGTCAGACCGGCGCGGCCTAATACAGGGTGTGGTCTGCACGTGCGCAATGGCGGCGGCGGGGCCTGGAGGTGGCTGGATTGTGGATACTGAGTGGGTTCTCTAACTGGAGGTGAGTAGAGGGGAGTCTTGCAAACTTACGATTTTTAACGTCCGATGTGAAGTCGAAAAGTCGTTTGTTGAGCGTGCAGATTCCGTGTCGAATATAGAAGAGTAGACATCCTCGGCAAGTTAGGGAAAGGGAGGCCTGAGGAGAGGGAGTGGAGGTGTTGGCGCATTGCAGAGAGGTTTGAGCGGAGACATTGAAGAGGTTGTGAGTGTGGAGCATCGAAGCTAGGTCCAAATTTTGAAGGCTTAAAATGTACCTGCAGGCCTTGGGGGATGAGATGGTGGCGAAGACAGGAGCTGAGGAAAGTCATGTGGCTTTTTTTTTCAGATTTTGCCCTCAGGTTCCATCATTCAATAATATATTGAGATGGAATGATAACGTACTATGCTATGCAGCATCAATTCATTTTCAAAGTTCAAGATTCAAATTGTTAGTCCTTTTTTTCAAATATAATTGCCATTTCTAGAGTTATTAGGGCCAAGAGATAAGACCATTTGGGCATGTAGTCCATGCCAGATCTCTGTAGAATGATCTGAGGAGACCAATTTGCCTGCTCCATCCCCACGTTCCTGCAAGTTTATTTCTCTAAAGTGTCTATCCAATTTCTCACTGATCTCATTGAGCATTCATGTTTCCACCAGGTAGGCAGTAGGTTCCTGATTTCACTAATATTACATGAAAAGTTCTTCCTCACATGTCCCCCTGTATTTTTGACTAAAGATTTTAAACCTGTGTTCCCCCATCCCTGTGCCATCAGCTAACAGAAGCAACTTTTCTTTTCCTAACCAATCTAAATTCCTGTACTCGTCTATCAGATCTTCCCTCAATCCCATGTGTTCCAAGGAGAATTGTTCCAATGTCACCAACCCAGTAGCAAAATTTTCTATTGAACCATACTAATAAATCTCCTCTGCACCTTTTTATGTACCTTCACATTGCTCCAAAAGTATGGTGCCTTGAAGTGAATTCAATCCCTTAGTTAAGACCAAAGGATGGCTTTGTAAACTTTCACCACAATATCCTTGCTTCTGTTCTTGATACAACTGCATACAAGGTGATGCCAAAGATCTCATAAGCTTCATTTGAATTGTTTCCTAAAATAGCTGCAGCAATTTTATTTGTCAAACAGCAACAAATAAATTTACGTGTGCATGTACACCTGCAAACATGGTAAATTCCTGGAGTTAGGTGACCACTGAGAAGATGGATAAGTGTGGGCAGGCAGTGCAGGACTCCCCTGTAGCCATTCCACTCTCAAACAGGAATACCTTTTTGGATAATGTTGGGGGATAACCTCTCGGGAAAGTAGAAGCAGCAGTCGGATCAGTGCCACCACGACTGGCCCTGTTATACAGCAGGAATTATTGGAGTGTATGCAAACAGGAGTAACAGAGATTGTATAGTCAGGGGCACGGATAGGAGTTTCAGTGGCTCCAAGAAGTTGTGTTGCCTCCCTGGTGCAAGGACCAATGGTGTCTGAGTGGGCACAGGATATTCTGAAGGGAAGGGGGAGCAGCCAGAGATTGTGGTCCATATTGGTTTAAATGACAAAAGCAGGAAGAGAGATGAGGCCCTGCAAAGAGAGTTCAGGGAGTTAGGTGTGATGTTGAAAAGCAGGACCTGTGGGTTGTAGTCTTGTGATTTCTTCCTGCGCCATGTGCCGGGAGGCTAGGAATAGGAAAATAGAACAGTTAAACATACGGCTAAAGAGGTGGTGTCAAAAAGAGGGCTTCAGGCATGTGGACCATTGGGATGTCTTCCAGGGCAGGTGGAACCTGTACAAGGACAGGTCACATCTAACCAGGAAGGGCACCAACATCCTGCCGGGGCGTTTTGCTCGTGCCACTCAGGCGGGTTTAAACTAGTATGGCGGGGGGATACGACCCAGAGCAGTAGGTGATTAAGTACAATGACCAAGGAGGAGTCTGAGACTGAGGCCAGTAAGACTAAGAGGAGAAACAGACAGGGGGAGTTCACTGAATGCAGTGGGACTGGTGGCATGGAAAGTATTTAAGTGCGAGGAGTATGGCAGGAATGGCAGATGAACTTGGAGCTTAGATTAATATAGATAATTGCAATGTTTGTAACAATTTCAGAGACTTGATTGAGAGACGGATAAGACTGGTTGCTTAACATTCTGGGATTTAGAAGCTTCAGACGAGATAGAGAGGGATGTAAAAGAGGTGGGGAGTTGCATTACTGATTAGAGAGAAAATCACAGCTGCACTGAGGGAGGACACCTTGAAGGGTTCATCTTGTAGGGCCATATGGTTAGAGCTCTGGATTAGGAAGGGTGCAATCACATTGATGGGATTGTAATACAGACCTTCCAATAGCCAGTGAGTGATGGAGGAACAGATAGTGAACAGATTATAGAAAGATGTAAAAACAACAGGGTGATTTTAACGTCCCCTAAATTGTCTGGGACTCACGTACTGCCAGGGGCTTGGATTGGCGAGAATTTGTCAGATGTGTCCAGGATGGTTTTTTGAAACAGTATGTAAATAATCCACTTAGGGAAGGGACCATCCTAGGCCTATTATTCGGGAATGCGCCTGGCTTTAAGGATAAGAGTAGTCTTTGGATGAAAGTACTATTAGGCAGGAACGAGGGAATGTAGATTGGGGGCAGCTGATTAAGGGTAAATCCGCATTTGGAATGTCAGAATCTTTTAAAGGCCAGTTGATTAGAGTTCAGGATCAGCATAGGGATGATAAGATTTGGAAACCTTGGATGCCAAGCAAAATTGAGCACTTAATCAAAAAGAAAAAGTATGGATTGTAAGGTTTAGGAAACTGAAGACGGATAGATCCCTCGAAGAATTCAAAAATAGCAGGAAAGAACTCAAACAAGGAATTAGGAGGACTAAAAGGGGTCATGAAACCTTTTTGGCAGACAGGATTAAGTAGAGTGCCAAGGAGTTTTATTTATATGATACATATATGTGGAGCTAGAGGATAATAGGGAAAGGGTAGCTCTACTAAAGGACCAAAGGAGGAATTTATGCATGGAACCAGAGGAAGTGGGTGAAGTGCTTAACAATTACTTTGCATCAGTATTCACAAAAAGGAAGGACATAGTGGATGGTGAGTCTCAGGAGGGGTATGTTGATATTCTGGGACATGCCAAAAGAAAAATGGAGGCGTTGTGTGTTGGGTGTTTTAAAAAGCAACAAGGTGGACAAGCCCTCAGCACCTGATGGGATCTATCCCAGAAAGCTAAAGTAGGCAGGTGAGGAAATTGGTGGCGCCTTGTATGAAATCCTTGCACCCCTTTAGTCACAGGAGAGGCCCTAGATGACTGGAGAACAGTCAACATTGTTCCTTTGTTTAAGAAGGGCAACAAGGATAATCCAGGAAATTACAGCCTGGTGGGACTTATGTTGGTGGCAGGGAAGTTGGATAAGACTCTTAGGGATAGGACTTACTCACATTTGGAAAAATATGGACTTATTACTAATAAGCAATCTGGCTTTGAGTGGGGAAGGTCTCACAAAACTTAATTGATTTTTTGAGGAAGTGACAGGTGATTGATGAGGATAGCGTGATAGATGTTGTCTATATGGACTTTAGCAAGGCTTTTGACAAGGTCCCTCGTGGCAAGCTGATACGAAAGTTGAAGCCACATGGCATGCACAGTGAGCTGGTAAGATAGATACAGAACTGGCTTAATCATCGTAGCGGTGTAAGGGTATTTTTTTTCTGAGAGGACATATGTGACCAGTAGTGTTGAAGAGGGATCAGTGTTGGGACCCCTGCTGTTGTAATATATATATACATATAAATGATTTGGAGGAGAATGTAGGTCACCTGATTAATAAGTTTGAACATGTCACAAAGGCTGGGGGAGCTGCAGATAGTAAGGAGGATTACCAAAAGATATAGCAGGATATGGATTGGCTGGAGACTTGGGTGGAGAAATGGCGAATGGAATTTAAGTTGGACAAATGCAAGATGATGCAGTTTAGAAGATATAATGCAAGAGGGAAATATATAGTAAATGGTGGAACACTTAGTAACTTAGTAGGTGACCTTCATCAGTCAGTACGTAGACTATAAAAATTGGCCAGTCGTGTTACAGCTCGATTGAACTTGACTTAGGCCATGTTTGTAATATTCTGTACAGTTTGGGTCACCACGCTGAGAAGGATGTAGAGGTTTTGCAGAGGGTACAAAGTGGTTTACAAGGATGTTGCCCTGTTTGAAAAATATTAGCTATGAGGAGAGATTGGTCAAGCTTTGTTTTCATTTGAACATCAAAAGATAAGGTATAACCTGATTGAAATGTACAAAATTATGAGAGAATGGATAGTTGGAGTCTTTTCCCAGGGTAGAAATGTTGATTACTGGGAGATATAGATTCAAGGTAAAAGGGGATAAGTTTTTAAAGGAGATGTGAGAGGCATGTTTTTACACAGAGCGGGTAAGTGCCTGGAATGCACTGCCAGAGGAGGTGATGGAGGTGAATACAATAGCAACATTTAAGATGCACCTTGACAGAAGCAAAAACAGACATGGAATAGAGGGATACAGACAACGTAGAGACAAAAGGTTTGTTTTTGGAAAGGTATCGTGTGTTGGAACATCTTGGTGGGCTGAGAATTCTGTTCTTGTGCTTTAATGTTTTTTGTTCTGTTTGTTCTTTGTTCATCAAAGACTAATAAATAAACATAAAAAGGAAAAAGAGAAACAGAGTCCTGTTTGAAGCTGTTACAGAGATAGTAGGAACTGCCGATGCTGGAGAATCTAATAACAAGGTGCAGAAGAAGGGTCTCGACCGGAAATGTCAGCTTTCCTGCTCCTCTGTTGTTGCTTGGCCTGCTGTGTTCATCCAGCTGTACACCTTGTTATCCTGTTTGAAGCTAACAGATTGATTCAGAGTCTACCAGGCGATTTTTGATTTAAGAAAAGACACTTCTGTAAACTGTTGGATTTGTATTTAAGGATGACCTTTAACCTCGATCTTTCACCCATATGACCTTGAGTTTGCTCTTCAGGAAGTGATGTTATTGTCTGGAGCTTATCGATGTTTGGGTTATGTATTTGACACCTGTGCGTCCTTAGGGCTTAGTTATTTCCTATTTGGCAGATACACTTAATCACCCAATCATCTCCATAATCAGAGTGGATTAAAAGCCAGTTTCTCTCACGGTGCAACAGCTGGCACATCTGACACAATAAAGAACGTGCTAAATGAGGAACAGTGATAAACAGCTGGCCTTATCCTTCTCATTTGCTCCCTTGTTTACTCTTGTAAAACTGATGAGCTATCTCAAGAGGTTAGGCTAAAAATGAAACATTTGTTACAATCAATGTAGGGAAATGAATCCACGAAAATACACATTCAGAACTTGCAACTGTTTGCATAATGGTCCTTTATATGTTTGCAGTTCCTATATTCAGTCAAGCATAACATGGAAAGTATCATTTGCCTTCTGGATTTCTAACGATTCAGATTAAAACCATCAATTTATAAAACAGCACATGGTTATCCCGCACTTTAAGTAGATTGATTTGAACCTGACATCTTCAATCATGCTTAAAAAGCCACAACTTGGAAGGATTAGAGAGAGATAAGCAAAGGCCTTTCTCAAATGTTCTGAAGAAGATTTGTCTGCTACTCCACTAGCAAGGATTCCTTGATTTTATTGCAGTCAGTGATGCTGCGTTAATTGTAAAAGATAATGCTCAACTCAGCATTGATCCTTCTCTCAAGTGCAGCTTTCACATTCAAGGAAAGCTCAAACTTGAACTTGATTCTATAATATTGTTATGGATCAGACCAGATGCCCCAGCGTATATTATGGAGATAGCCTAGACCCTAACTTTTTTTTAGTGTAAAGCACTGTCTTCCAGCTGTGATTCAATTAGTCCACTACTAAGCTTTAATCAAAACACGCTTTATTCTTACAATACAGTTAAAATACAACAAAAGAAGAATTGGCATAACTGTACTGTATTGAAGTACTTAACAAGACAATATTATTTAATTGCTAATCATCAACTATTCTAAAACGGGTAGCATCCCATTGACACACCCTTGACGAAAGCAATTCAGCAACACAGTTACTACTGTCATGTGCTATCTCTCTCCAGTAGAAGTAAACACCGAAACAAACATTCTGCCCCTTTTGATTTTTAAGAGGAAGCCTTTTTGTCTAAGACTTCACTCTAGCAGCAGAAAACTCAAGCTTTGAGCTCTAGCAGCTAGCAAAAATTCTACTCAACTACCTGAAAACAAAACTAAAGTCTCTGGGTGTTTGTGAACCTGGCCTCGCCCACTTATTTTTTTCTAAAGAAAACCGAGGGAGAACTCAGTTATTTACCAACTGCCTGTCTAAAGGAGACATTTCGGTACCACTGTGACAACACCCGTCTGCAAGAAAAACAGGACATCTCTTAAAGGCACAGTATTATCACAAGACAAACCATCATCTGCAAAGTCAAACATTGTGTTGACTGATATAGCTTAATCATGTGTGTTTTGGAGCGAGAAGGCATTGTGTATATATATGTATGTATATGTATTTAGATCTAATGTGACTGAATACTGCACTAAATATTATTTGAGGAAAAACATTTTCACCCAGAGGATGGTGGGGATCTGGAATACGCTGCCTGGGAGAATAGTTGAGGCATGAAATCTCACAACCTTTAAGAAAGTACTTGATTTAGCACTTGAGTATCATAAATTTCAATGCTACGGGCTGAGTGTGGGAAAGTGAGACTTATATAGGTAGTAGTATATTTTTGGCAGACTTAATGGGTTGAAGGGCCTCTTCTGTACTGTATGATTTTATGATTCTATAAAAGAGATGTCCACACGCAAGATTCCTGCCCTGGAGAGCTTAATCCCAAATTCTTAGGCACCACTTATTTTTTCCAAGCTCAATGCCAAGAATGGATATTGATCTATTCATGTTTTACCAGAGTCAGAATTTAGAATATCCTTTATTGTCACACACAAGATAACAAGAATTGAAACACTTTTTTTGTTTGATATTGTTTCATTAGGTTATCATTTTGATTATCTGTCAGCCAGGACAACAGCCACCAACATATGGATCATATCATTGAGAACTGACAAGATTGATTCTACATCACAGATGATATCCCAATCTTTGGAAGAATATGAGCATAACCAAACTTCCAGAACTTCAAGATGGTGACAAGGAAACATGATCTTGTTTTCAACAGTGAAAAATGTTAAATGATCAAAATGAGCCAAATCAATTTCTTCATATTAATGTACTTATCAAATGGTAATAGTCCTGAACCTACCAAAATAGAAGATCATACGGCAGATGGCTACATTGTAAGACAAAGGTGACTTATAAAAGTTATTTCAACATTTTATTTCCATATAATCTTGTTGTCAAAGCTTTTCCTCTTGAAGATCTTATAGGAACAGGAATAGGCTATTCAGCCCCATGAGTCAGTTCCACCATTCCATGAGATCATAGCTGATCTGTGGCCTAACTCCATTTCCCTGCCTTTGGCCCATATCCCTTAATACCTTTTGCTTAATGAAAATTTATCACTCAATTTAAAATTAACAATTGATTCTGCATCCAATGCCATTTGTGGAAGAGAGTTCACACCTTGTATGACAAAGTGCTTCCTAACATCTCTCCTGAACAGTCTGTCCCTAATTCTCAGACTATGCCTCTAGTTCTAGAATCCCCAGTTAGTATAGATAATTTATCTTTACCTACTGTGACTTTTTCCTGTTAATATCTCATAGAGTCCCTACAGTGTGGAAACACACCATTTGGCCCAGCAAGTCCACATCAACTCTCTGAAGAGCATCCTGCCCAGACTCGCCCACCAACTGTATCCCTGCATTTCCCATGGCTAATCCACCTAATTTATACATTCCTAGACACTATGGGTAATTTAACTTGGCCAATCCACCTAAGCTGCACATCTTTGGACTGTGGGAGGAAATTGGAGCACCCAATGGAAGCCCACCCAGACACAAAGAGAATGTGCAAACTCCACACAGGCAGTTGCCTAAGGCTGGAATTGAACCCAGGTCCCTGGTGCTGTGAAACAGCAGTGCAAACCACTGAGCCACCGTGCTGCCCCAAACATGCATCATACCTTGTGTGTCTTGAAAACTTCATACAGATTACCCTTAACTTACTAAATTTTAGAGACAACAGCCTTTTTTTTTATAATCTCTCCACATAACTTAACCCCCAAAGTCCAGAAGTCATTCTTCCAAACCTATGTTGTACTCCTTCCAAGGCCAATATATCCTTCCTAAAGTATTATGGAGCACAGATCTGCTCACAGTACTCCAAGTGGGGTCTAGTCAGGATTTTGTATAACTGCTGCATAACTTCTGCGTCCTTATACTCCAGTCCTCTAGATATAAAGGCCAGCATTCCATTAGCTTTCTTGATTATGTTCTTCACCTGTTCATGACATTTTAAAGATCAATGCACGTGAACCCTCAGGTGTTTGGATATGTATTTAACTTTATTCCTTTAGCGCTAGACTATGAACCGGAAATTCAGCTCATATTCTGGGGACCTGGGTTTAAATCCTGACGTGGCAGGTGTTGGAACTTGAATTCAATTTAAAAAAAAAAGCATCTGGAATTAAGAGTCTACTGATGACCATGAAGCCATTGCCAATTGTCAGAAAATCCATCTGGCTCACTAATGTCCTTCAGGAAAGGAAATCTGCCATCCTCAACTGGTCTGGTTTTCGCGTAACTCCAAACCCACAGCAATGTGGTTGAGTCTCAGTTGCCCTCTGAAATGGCAGAGCAAGTCACTCGGTTCAAGGACAGCTCGGCCTGGGCAATAAAGCTGTCCAGCTCGAGACACCCACATCCCAAGCATGCATAAAAAAATAAGAAAATGTCCTAATCTAGCCTTTTTTGGTCCAAAATGGATAACTTCACACTTGCTTACGTTGAACTCCATCTGCCACAGTTTTTCCCATTCACCTAGTTTATCAATAACCCTTCGTAATTTTATGCTATTGTATATACTGTCTACAATGCCGCCTAACTTTGTTGTCAGCAAATTTGGATATAATTCTTTCTGTGCCATTATCCAAGCCAGTCAATTTCTCAGTCATGTCAATAATTTGCCCTCATGTCTGTGGACCTCTATGTTAGTCAACAGTCTCTTATGTGGGATTTTATTAAATGCCTTCTTATCCTCAAAGACACACCATGCCTATGACAGAAAGATCAGCATCATATTTTGCAAACTCTCAAATGCTACATCATCCAGCAAATGTGTTTTTTTCGATATTCTGATCTCTACCATATCAGAAGTAGATTCATCCCAGAAAAGGCCTCAAAGTGTTACAGATTCTATTACAGGAAGACCAGCCTTTTTCACTTATTTCTAAGGTCCTTACAACAGCTCTTGCAAACTAATCAAACGTTGAAAGCAAAACTCTTGCTCCCCCACCAATACCATACTGATTGTTATCCTTTTAATTTTATACCATTCACTAGACTATTCTAAATACCATGTATTTGTGGCTGTTTGATGTAGGTGTTAGCTGCCTTCAAAATCTTGCCCAAGCCATCATTCTTTCTGTGTTGCAGCCTCACTAGCTCAGCTGGGATTCTCAAGCTGGGCTAGAGTCCTGTGTTGGAAGCTTCTGTTTGTCACTTGGTAGCAGTCTTACCTCTGAGTTGTGGCTTTAAGTCCTAGGACATGAACTCAAAAATCAAGATGTGGAGGTACCGGTGCTGGACTGGGGTGGACAACCTTTCAGAGCCTCAGTCGTTTTTAAGGTGTTAGTCAGACTGACATTGTACTGGAAATGCACTGCACTCTCTTTGGGATGAGAGTGTACTCTGTCCTGATGGAGTAAAATGTCTGATGACACTATTCTGAAGAAGTCCAGGGATGTTAACCCTGACTACTTAATTAACATTTACATCCCAGATAAGGTCGCAAAGAGACATTATCTGGTCATTATCCCCTTGCTGATGGGGGATGTTTGTTAAGTACAAGTTCGCTGGTGTGGCTGGTGTGTTTTCTACATTTCAGCAGTGACTTCACTATGAAGCACCACCTTGGCTTTGAGACATCACTAGGGTGATGAAAGTGTGACATAAATGTAAGTCTTTCTGATACAATATGAGCCAAATTGTCTGGGGAAGCCAACATAACTGTATCTAATCTTATCCTTATACCAACACCCCTGAGCAAGATTAACACCAACAGTAATTTTTTTTTGATAAAATGATGTTTCATAAAATGTCACAGAGGCATGCATAGTTTTCAACAGAGATCGCTTGATAACCACCAGAGCATAATGCCCAGTTAACTTCCTTCTCACTATTCCAAAGACTGAAGCCAATTGTTGTGCCTTCAGTTAGGGTCAATCAAGTCACCAAAGGTCAAAACATCAAAGCTATTCCCTTCCTGGTATACATGGATCATGTATTATGTTGTGTGCTGCGTTTATCTCCAAGATACTGAGAAAGCAAAGAGTTGTAAAACAGGAAAGCCTGCCTAGCGGTAAGACACAAGCATAGTTGGCAATTGTGTTATTGTCTCTCAGCCTGAAAATGATAATAGAATGTTAGGAGGTGCTAACATATGAAGCACTGTCCATTTCACTTGCTCACCCTCTGCAATGTTAGCTAAGATGCAACTGATGGGTTCCCAAAAAGAAAGCCAACAAAAGATTTTGAAAGTAAAACTCTTGCTCTTTCACCAATGCCATACTGATTGTTATCCTTTTAATTTTACACCATTCACTAGCCCATTTTAAAGACCGTTTATTTGTGGCTGTTTGATGTTTTGTTGCAGGGAAGCCTGAAGTGAAATTGGAGGCATCAGCTGATTTTCCCCTACATGCTCAGGCAAGATCCTCTGGGATTCTCTCAAGGCAAACAGAGAATGCAGGCCAGTAATCCTTGATGTAGCTTTCAAATCCAGAATGGGGAAAGGGGCAATAGTACACGTTGAATTTCACAATTTCTATAAACACTGTGGCTAGGAAGGCTGCTATAGCATGTAAGAGTTAAGGTTCTGCATATTCAAAGCTTGTGAAATTGTAGAGTTAGTACAGCATTCACATAATATGACCCTGTGGCTAAACATGTGTGCATCATTCAAAAGGTGAATGGCCATTATATGAAATCCAAATAAGCTGCCATTAGTTTAATTCTGTTCATCATTTAATTTTTTTATTAATTTAATATGGAGCCAAATCACAATTTCTATTATCCATGAAACTGCTATGTATAACCATCAGCTCAGAGATGCCCTGGATTTCATTGCTAGTTGTAGCAATTGTTTCATTATTGCCTTTATCATAATGGAAGGATTCAAAATCATTGTTTTTTGTTTGCTTTGACAGAATTCTCTGGATAGCTTTCAACTAGCCATTTGATGTTCTCCCTAATGATCACAACCCACTTTCAGTATTGTCATCATCTCAAACTGGTTTACTTGTTTAATGGGTGTAAACCATTTTCCCCTTTCAGCGTTCTGACTGCATCAGTAATTGACTGTGTCAATATTCTCAACAATAAAATACACCAGGCCTGCTCTTGCTTTCCATCTCAAATACAGTTAGGGTTTGCCTTTTCCCTTGATGAATCCTGCCGAACCTGATTGCTATTGGTAAGACTTCCAACATAATCACCAGCCCCGTTCTGTTGGTATTTCCATGATGCTAAAATCTTTTTTCACCCATAGTACACAGCATTTTAACAGATAACAGTTCAGCAGTAACACGGAGAAAAAAACCTTATTCACTATATGTTAACTGAATCAGCCATATAAATTCTCTGACTTTATGGACAGATCAGAGGTTAGATATACCGTGGCAAGTAACTCACCCCTGGACAGCTCAAAATCTGTCCATCATTTACTGGGCACAGTTCAGGAATGTGATCAAATGGTCTCCACTTTTAGATTCACCGACACTCAAGAAGATCGATGCCATTGAGGATGAAGTATTCTGCTTGATTGATACACCATCCACTACAGCCAACATTCACACTCGTGATCATTGACACACTGCCAACACTGTGTACTGTCCACAATATACACTGCAGTAACTCACCGAGTAACTCCTTCAATATCCTCTTCCAAATCTGTAAAATCTACCATTTAGAAGAACAAGGGCACTAGGTACGTGGGAACACCACTACCTGCAATTTCCTCTCCAGCCCACATACTGTCTTGATTTGGAAATATATCAATGTTCCTTCACTGTTGCTGGGTCAACCTTCTGGAAGTCCCATTGTAAACTGCACTGTGGATATCAGACCATGAAGATAGGAATGGTTCAATAAGGCAGCTCAATGTCACCTTCTCAAGGGCAATTAGAGATTGGCAATAAATACTTGCATAGCCA